AACAGAGAGTATATTCTTCAATTTTTGAATAATGCTAACGTTAAAAATTCATAAAGTTGTCGTATTTTAAACGAATTTACTGAATACTTGTTCAAATATAATTTTTTCTCAGTCACACATCAATACTGGACAAGGCAAGAAATATATTTGATCAATTATCCAGCAAATTAAGTTGAAATACAAACTTTTTAAATTCGTTACGTCCATTTTGATGTAAAATTTTAAAAACACGCTATGTTTGGTAATATATATGACCAAGTCAAAACGTGCTGTTACTGTTCTGGTATCGTAAAGTCGAATATGTAAGTTATATGATTTTCTCCATATGTGTCGTGGTTCTGCCTTTATTGGCAGTTTTCGAAAAATAGCCACTCCAAAAACGATAATTTTCAAAATTTTGAAAATAATCCACAAGGGGGCGTAAAATGATATTTCGATATTTTATACTTTCCGCAACTTATTCCAACTTTAATGAACGTACAGTATTGATGTGTTAGCAAGACAAAGAAAGTTTGATAAATTATCTAGTAATTTTAGTTTAAATATAAAACTCTTTTTAAATATGTTATGTCTGCATTGTTTTTTGAAATTTTGAATACACGCTATTATATATGGTCAAATCAAAACGAGCTGCTACTGTTGTGGTTCAGTCAAATCGAATCTTCAATGTATCTGCTATTCGCCTAAAGTGTCGTAATGCTGCCTTTATTGGCGGTTTTCAAGAAATCGTCACTATAAAAACGGCATGTTTGGGAAATTAAAATAATATTATATAGGGCGTAAGACATTTTGCGAGTTGCGAACAATATTCATTAAATCATCGCCAACTAATTATAGTTGCCCAAACCATTGTCGCAAGCTGGACTACCAAATTAAGATTTAGATTACATTACATATTCAATGTTACCGGTACATGTAAATAAAATGAAATTGATGCAGTGTGATACTGAGATAGAACAATAGGTTAATTGGAATATATTAGTTATCAAAGGAAGGTGAAGGATGTGAGCAAATTTTTTTTTTCATTTATCGAGTTCAGACTAAGAAATAAAAACTGCGGTTGTTATTTCACAGGATCATTTCAAAATTAACACGGAAGATTCTTTGTATCTTTTAATGTACACACCATGGGCGTTAAACAAGCTAGATGTTGAATTCATTTGATCACTGTGAAGCAGTCCGAAACTCGAAAATAAATCTACGGGTAGATGTTTCAATGATTGCATACAAAGGATTGAAACTACTAACGGTTGAAACGCATGGAAAAAAAAATTTGGTTTGGACGCAGAAGAAATTGTTATTAAGCCATGCAAAAACACTTAAATTTAGTCATACCACACTAACCATACACATGTTGGCCATTACCTTAACTTCAAAACTTAACCAAAGGCAGGATTCCTGTTCACACTAAGCATAGAATATGACAGAAAATTTATACTTGAAGAGAAGAATCCAGTAAGCTTGACTGCTCGAATAATTTCTGCAGGAACTTATTGGGATAGGATTTACATATTTATCTCAAGGGAAAGGGAAGACGACTCAAGCATATGGCGAACCACGCCTTTCGTCCGGGTATGGAGTTCGTTAGTCAGTTATTCGTTTCAGATGCACGGACTTGACACATTAAGGTTGCTTTGATTACGGGAACGGGATTTTTTGTAATAACCCCCACTAAAAACACCCCCTAATATTTTACTTTCTCTCCAATTAATCGCTGTTGTCATCGTATGAAATGTTAACGATCGGAGCGAATTCATCCGGCGGCAAAAAGCCGTTTCCTATCAAAGAAAACGATCACGATCTGGAAAAAACGCGAACTGTAAAGAAACCCGAAAAACACAACTAATCTAAACGTTAGGTGTTTCTGAGTGTTTATTTTACTCAATTATTCAGTCCTAATTTAGTCGTTCCCACTTTTGGTTACTTAGTTTTTATAAATCAATTTTTGTTTATGCATATTAAATGCATCTTTTTATCGTACTTTTCTGATTTTTTTTTTTCAATTTGTAAAATACAAAATCCTGCGCTACGAGAACGACAGTGGGCATGAGCTCCGAGGTCCAAGTTTGTATCGTAGCAACTGTAGAAAGCGTGTGTGCTATCTTTCCGCTGTGTAAAATTCGAGAAATGAGCAATCTACATACAGCATTAGAATATGTAAGTCAAAATCATGTGCAATGTACATACATGAATATGGAAGAAGGCATTTTAGAGCACCAGACATGGATGATGAAATTTTCGTTTTCCGTGCACGTGACTAGGGCTGGGCATTTTCGAATACCGTTTGATTTCAGAATCGAATCGAATATTTTTTTCGAATCGAATCTCGAATATTTGGAAATATATAATTGTAAGCGACTTTTTTGTTGTAATTGGTTCTCCCAACAAATGAATTACAAAAGACAAAGAATGCACCACTCAGATAGATTACTGAGCGTTCACACACAATAAGAAACACGTTTTATCAATAACTCACTACAGAAAATAGTCATATGTTACAACTGCGTTGAAAAAATATGACTTCAATGAAAGAAAAATTGGGGGAATTCACCCGGGCCATTGGCGGAAAGAAAAAACAAGATGGCGGCGATTTGACATTTTGCTCTGAACCGATTCGAATAATTTACTATTCGATTCGAATATTCGATTCAAAATGCCCAGCCCTACACGTGACTCATCATTCGAAGATTTGTGCATTCCGAAAGTCAGTATGTAAACAGCTATTCAAAGAAAACCCCATCCCAGTATGTCAATTACTGTTGGATAACGCAAACTTAGCCCCAAATAACCTGTTACCTGTTATAGTACCCAATATATACCCAATTGAAATATAAAAGCAGCGGGAAACATCTCAACTGTTTTTTTTATTTTTTTTTATTTGTTTGTATATTTTTCTTCTTACTGAGTAATTATTGATTTTATGTCTCTCTTTTTTCACTCCAACCTTATCATGTCTCAATGATTGATTGTATGTTTGTGTGTGTGTGCGTGCGTTAATTAGTTTTAATATTTTTGGGTGAACGAACACGTACTACTTCTTTTATCGATACCTCCCCACCCAAAATATGTACCCTTTAAACCTTGCTTGAGGTTTCGTTTGCTTTCCCGACACTATAATAACATGTACTGTAACATGTTTCACTTTTGCTCATGGTATTTCTTTGTGTGAGTATGTAATTGAGATTGCTTTTACTGTTTTAATAAATGATTTTACACCTCCATGTTGCCTGCCAATATTGACAGTGTTTGGATATTGTTTTGGTAAATAGTTCCAATGTATATAGCTTTTTTGCGTTTTTTCCTGTGTTACTAGTCACTATTTTCTTCTAACATTGGCACGCATTGGTAGATATTTGTATTCACAGCTATTTCAAGCTATTGTCACTCTATTTTTATTCCCACTATTCAAAACTTCATGCTGCTTTCCAACCATGTATTTATTTATCTGTCTTGCACATTTGATAGGTTTTCGGTGATTTTTTGCATTTCTGACAGCAAGCGATGTCTCCCATCGATTTTGACTTGTTTATTTCTATGCTATATAGGAATCTCAGACCCAAAATTTACAGCATTCGAGATCAGCTATATTTATATATATTTACTGCAAGGCTAATCCGGGCGATTTCTCAGCTACCATAATCGTATACGAACATTTGAAACATTATGTTTATATCAATCAGAGACGGAGGAGGTCGTTGGGATTCTATTACATTTAATTTTATCTACCTGAATTTTGCTGTCCTATTTCAAGCGCAACACTTATTTTGACTCCATGTAAATTATTCACTGATTCAAGCAATTATTTGGCTTTTATCAAATTAAATTGAGTTATAAGCACTGCCCGCTTTTGAATCGTGTTCATATTTTTTTGTATACTCGTACTATTCTTATTTTATTTTTTGGTGGGTGGGCACGTACTTGTACGTTTTTTAACTTTATTTTAAGTTATGCTCGCCTTCCATGTATCTCTCTATTTGTTGTCTGTTTACTTTTTTGTATTGTTCCGTTTTAGTCAGAGAGCCGAAATAAAATGATCGATTGGTTGATAATCAGTTTTATTTATTTTGTTTTTATGAATTATATACTGCATGCCCAATTACAATGATTAGTACCTGAACACTACGGTACGTGTCCAAATATAAACCGCGATACAAATTTGCGTTACATAGCATTCTAAAGTATTTGTTTGTATATCCTATACCGGTACACTATTACATAATCAAGCATTCGTTACTTTACTTTTCAACAATCCTATTTTAAGCAGTTATTAGTATTGTTAACCGTTTATCTACCATTTCGATTAAACTTCTTTTTATCATTCTGTGAATTGCTTATCTGAGAAATTCGGATTTTACTTGTACACAATCTTGTGAAACAAGACTTCCAAGGACGAGTACGGCTTTTATTATCGCATTATCGCGGCGGTGTGGCTCAACCGGCTAAGCGTTAGGAATACGCTCGCCACCGCACCTCTAACTACTCTGCGTGGGTTCGCAGGTTCGAATCCCATGCAGGGATGGTTATGTGCGAGAGGATTGCTGGACTCGTCGTTGGGTGGTTCACGTAACCGCTGGTCGGTTACGGCTTCCTCCACCACCAAGTCCATGCTTCCGAAAACAAACAATACAGTAAAACTAATCCCATACCCGACTTGAAATGGTAACCGGACGAGAGGCCGTGGTTCGCCATATGGATAAGCCGTCTTATCGGCTTTCCTCTCCCCCGGGATAAATATGTATATCCTATCTATTCTATATCTCCTAATTGTGCCGTGTCGATAGAGCATACTGGTATATTCACGATGAATCATATCTCACTCTCTCTCTTATTAATTAAATATATTGCTAATGCGACCGACTGCCACTGAATTTTAAAGTAATAAAATGCACAAAAGTTTTGCTCCAAGATGCCATGTGGCGTTTTATTTATGAAAATACCATTTAAAATAAGGCTGAGTATTCAAATCCAATATAAAAGTTCAAATCTTCGATATAAAATCACAACATGCAACTTCTTGAAGTATAGTAGTTATAAGTCGTATACGAAGCATTGCTTCATATGGACACAGATAATCTAATCAGGACAAAGGAAAGAACAGCAACAAAAATGACAATCACTGATCGGAGTTAGTAGTGGACCATGACATATGTGGACAATAAACACATAACATAAAACTAATTAACATTTACTGTTTTCAATTAAAAGTCAGTCATATATTTCGCAATACTCAGCGAGACTGAAAATGGGGAAAAGCCAGCACGCAGATCCCCATTTTCAAGGCTCAGGAGAATTTTAACAGTCAAATTCACAATTAATTACCAAATAATTGAATCACAATTTCCTTGTTGAAATTCGGGTAATACCAGCACATAATTACCCGCATTCCACAAGGGTTCATCGAGAAAATTCCATTACATAAATTGAGTTAAAAAGCCGATGAGCGATAGACTGCACTGGCAAAGCACAGACTACACAAGGCTTAGTCTAGGTGTCCTACACGGAACATATAACATAAAAAGCAACATAAATACAATCGTCACAGTTGAAATATTGCGCTTGTTTGCGATATAATACTATAAAAAATTACAGAAACAACAATGTCTCATTTCATGAATTCTACCTCCGCTTTTCGTGAAGTGCAACTTATTATTTTATTTTGCAGTGTACATATTATGATTGCTGAAGGTTTCAGAGGTGCATGTTTCTTTCCAAACACAAATCCTGTTTTCACATCACTGACTTGAAAAAGTTAAGCAATATCATGTACCAAATTCTGCCATAAAACAACGTTTCTCAGCCACTGAAACAAACATCTCCCATTTTGAAACCATGACGCTGTCGACTGCTTTCTCCGAAGTCGAATGCTTTGTAGTCAACAATCGGCAATGCATCAAGATCTTCTGAGTCAATTTCCATCATCACTTCACCAAGTCCAGTGCCATTCTAAAAATGAAACGTGTCTCATAAACAATTTCATTTTACAGGAACACATGTCTTGATAAACACAGTTTCGATTGAGTATATATTAACATAAATAAACTTACCATGCATGTATCTCTGACAACTGTAATTTTGGGATCAGTTGAATGCTTGGTGATTTCCATTTCATTCGCTCCCATCAATCTAACAGCTTGATCAAAGTTTCCCTCAGAATCTTCCCATCCAACAGAATTAACACAGATATAGGTGAAAGTCTGTCTAGCCTTTGATGAAAGAAGGCGAAGAAATTTCATTTGTGTTTCTGGGATGTCGTATTCGATCTGAAATAAATAATTATAATGGTTATATTGTGATTATTCAAGCTTTGGCACTGCATATACAAAACCTTTGATTTGAAAATCTATATCAAAAATGAATTCAACTGTAAAACGGTTTGAACATTTTAAATTGATAATGTGCATCACTACCTTGTATCCTTTAATGTATGAGCTGAACCAAGTTCCAGGAGTTGCCTTTGGCCATCGATGTGGATTTTGCTAAAAATGAATGTTCGATTAAAAGTCAGTCATATATTTCACAATACTCAGCGAGACTGAAAATGGGGAAAAGCCAGCACGCAGATCACCATTTTCAAGGCTCAGGAGAGTTTTAACAGTCAAACTCACAATTAATTACCAAATAATCGAATCACAATTTCCCTGTTGAAATTCAGGTAATACCAGCACATAATTACCAGCATTCCAGACAAGGGTTCATTGAGACAGTTGTAAAATGCTTGTCTGAAGAAGTCTGACCTCGGTCAGACGAAACGTTACAGAAATACATTTGTGTTAGTGTGCAGCAAGACTCTTGAATTGAATAAATGTTTATTATCAAATGGACACTTTTTTGGTCATTTTTCAAACCATGTTCTGAAGATTCCCACCCAGAATCAGATTTCGACAGCAAAGACGAATGAATAGAAATCAAAAAACCTTTTCCGTTCCTGGTGTCAAACAAGTTTCACCTTCCAATTCAAAATTGCAAAATACTTCGATGGCATCAGCATGGCAACCTCCATTTGGATCAATCCAGTAGGCCTCTGCAAAAAATAAAAACACATTACATAGCATTCTATTCGGCTATCATCCAAATAATATCATTCATAACAAGAGATAATTAAAATGTGCCCTGGTTAAATATACAATATTTTCACGAAAATGCATCAATTTGAAAATTCTCACAAACTCAAGAGCTAAAAATTTAATTTATGTTTCGTTTACTGCTATTTATTCAACATTCCACACTTAAGTTGTCTGTATTACTAAAATCTAAAATGCAACAAGTGTAACAGTAATTTTCTAAGACAAGATTACATAAGCTGAAATTTTGTAATTGATCTATAACTTTGAATTTACTGATTGAGCTTTTAAAGAAAGCCGTTCAGATCTAGAATAGATCAATATTTCAAATTTGTTCATAACATAGAAGATGTAAATAATACAATAAGACACAGGATTCAAACAATTTAAATAATTCTATTGGGCATAAGCAGTGATCAGTGTATCCGAAATGCTTGACTAACGTTTCTCAACCTGGTTTCATAACAACATTAAGTTCGACATAAAGAATGGCTTGCTCAGTATATTGTATGCAAAACCAAAAGTATTGTATATAATGTTGAATAAAAAGTAGATTCAAGAAAAAAGAAAATTTGATGAAAGTTCCGATTAGAATTTCTCCCAACCAAAATTTTACCATAAAAACAAGAGACAGTTCGTTACTGTACTTACTAGATTCATAATCAGGATGACAGAGCCAGAGATCTTTGCAAGATCTAGCTGGGTTTTCCCGTGATCCATTCGGCTCAATTCCAATCTTTTCTTGCAGATCACTGATTTCTTGGGCAAGTGAATCAAGTCCCATAAATATTTCTTCCATGCCTTGTGGATGATCCTGGAGATTATTTTGAAAATATAGGTTTTATTCCACAACAAGTTGAATTTCGTTTCAGATAAGATTTTCAACTAGCATACAGAATTTCAGCTTTAAAAAGCTGATATTGATGTACTTGAACAGTGGTTCCCAACCACCGGGTGCAATTAATTCAATCTGTGGGAAATTTTTTTCTGCCCTCGCAGTCACTTGATTAAAGAATGAACAATGTTTCATAATAGAAGAGTCTTTGGTTATATATCGCTTAATTGAGTTACCGGTCCACCTGTTTAGGTTGGGGAGCACTATGTTAGAATACAAAAACATTTCCTCAAAAGGTAAATGCTTTGAACTTTTTTTAAAAGTGTGTGTATTTCCTCTTCTGCAGAGACAGAAAACGCCTAAATGTATCATAAGAAAATTATAATTACACTTACATCCATTCTGAAAACAGCATCTCTTCTCTTTCTTGACTCTGCCTTGAAGGAGGATGCGCCATTATACGGGGATGGGTCATATGATTTTCCAGGTGGTCCGGGTGGTCCTGGTGGACCAGGTGGTCCTTCATTACCCTTCGGACCATGAGGGCCTTCAGATCCTTTGTTTCCTTTGATACCAAAAGATCCCTGTAAAGTGCAAAAAAGAGGTTTCAATGGATGTTTCCCCAAGCATCGACTTCCTTGTTTACTTTTTGTCATTGGCCTTTTCTCACTCAGACAGATTTTCAGGCTTAGTGGTAAACATTACCTCGTTTTTGCGTTTTTGAATTCTATTCGTTAGTTTTCAGTTGTGTTTCGGGAATTTAGATATAAATCAAATAATTCCATGATCACTTTGTCTTCTTAGGAGTTTCAGTTTAATTTCAGTAATTAAAAATGAGTGTAGAAATAGCTGTGATAGACTACGCTAGAATTCTTTACCGGTTCTTTTAAAAAACAGATTGTTGAATGCTATATATCAGAATAATGGTTTGTACCAAATACCCCATTCTACAGGCGCCAACTCGCGGAACCACTCTTAAAATAAGCACCGAAAATTTTGCAATGGTAAAGTATAGAAAGAATTTTCCGGGGGTTAACGGTCGGGGAAAGGTTCATAATTGGTGGTTTATCTTTGGGATCCTGTGGTCTATGCTTTGATGAGATCTTGAACACACAATGGATGTAAAGAGTCCATGGCAACATCAAGAATGTTGATCAAGTAAATAGTTAACAGAAAGAAATCACCCAAACCAAAAGTGTTTTAGTATATTTAATTTGTTGAAAAGTGAGAGTTTCTACATAGGATGGCCGACCTGCAGCCAATTATTTTGTTTGTGATATTTTGCTCAGAAAAAAATTCAGATAATGAAAAAATAGCTTACAGGCAAACCAGGAGGTCCTTGTGGCCCAATCGGTCCAGCAGGTCCATCTCTACCTTCATCACCTTTCGATCCCACCCCTCCTTCCGGGCCTTGTAAACCTCTGGAACCTTTGGGTCCTTCTTCTCCAGGTGGACCAATCAATCCCATCAGTCCAGGATGACCCTGCATATCAGAATTAAGAGTGACAGACTCCTCAACAATACCAATATTATATCTTTTAAATTTAGTATCAATATTTTCCAGAAATTGGTCTGCAGCACAATTTTGTTGTTTTACTCCCATATAGCATGGTACATCAGCACTAGTATAAACTAAGACCTGAAGCAGTCAAAATCTCGTTGATTGAGCAATAACTATACCTCAGCCATCCCCAATTTCTTGGAGGAAAAGTGAACAATAAATAAGTTGATGACAAAACGGCATATTAAGTCATCAATTAGGCCTACTCCAAATCTTTTTGCAGTATCTGAAAACCTGCATCCGAAAACAAATAACTGGCTAACTAATCCCTTACCCGAAATGGATTGATAACCGGATGAGAGGGGGGGGTTAAGTCGTATTAACGGCTTTCCTTCTTCCCTGGGATGAATATGTAAATCCTATCCTATTCTATGTTGTTTTCATGTATAAAATTACCTAAATATAAAATGTCTCACAAACCTTTTGTCCAGGTAATCCCAAATTTCCCTTTTCCCCTCTTATTCCAGCTGGTCCCTGTTTTGAAAAAATATTGAAATGTGAAAAATATTGTAACATTATTAATCAGTACCGGTAATTTAATACAGTAACTTTGAGGCAAAAAAAGATTAATTTTTTCCTGCTAACAGTAATCTAAAACAAATTCGTCAGTATAATATTTTCAGTCTATTTCAATCAGAAAAAGCAGGACAGATAAAACTTCTTTCATATATGGTAAGAATACAGGTTTATGAAATTTGAATAGTTGGCATTCAATATTGCAAATGTATCAAATTCGCACATGTAATCTATACATCAGAGAAAGCAGCTGTGCTTATAATCTAGCCCAGTGGTCGGCAACCACCGGGCCGCGGCCCATCGCCGGTCCGCGGAAAGGTTACTGCCGGTCCGCAGAGAGGTGACACAAAAACGGACAATGCCGTAATAAAACCTCTACAATCTAACCACAAACCCTACAACTAAAAAACAGCACTCAACAATACACCAGACAAACACATTACCAGGGGTCGGAAAAAATGCGGCCCGCGAACTAATTTGTTGCGGCCCTTGAACGATCCGACATTTAATAAATAAAACAAAAATTAATCCCAAATTTATTATTGTCTCTACACGGATTTATGTGGTGACAAGTGCGGAGCTTCTTATGTAACAAGTAGCGTCAGTTATATGTCGTTCGAATTTTGATTTTTAAAATTTGAAAATGTCTGGAAAACGGAGCGACGCGGGTCGAGCACTTCATAGTGCTTGAACGGAAAAATATTTTTCTTTTCTGCGCATTCCATAACAGGTTTGCTCGATATGCCTAGTCAGCATCGCAGTTGTTAAAGGTTTCAATGTTAAACTCGTTACGAAACGAGTCGTTGAAAATTCGAACACGAGACCCGGGACTGCGCCACAGCTCATCTGTGCGACATTGCAAAACGTGTAATGTGCACGTTCGGAAGAACTTCTGGCCTTGAGCAGCTTTATCTAAAATGCATTACACTTAGATTAAATTTCGTACTCGCTTGTCAGATCATCATTTGGATGACGAGTTGCCATAATAACATCATCTTTCACATTGATAATAAGTACATAAAAACAATGTATTGTTGAATAATAATAAAACGCCACATATACATCTCATTGGGGCAGGCTTTTAACACAGCAATAGAAGGGTAGCAATGCGAATGCGCCATAATTTGAAGTTTAATTATGGTAGCGATTTTTCGAAGGCGGATTTATAGCGGCCTGCGCGCTACCGGAAATGTTTATAATTGGCCCGCAAGTACATGAAGTTTGCCGACCACTGCATAACACTATTGAGCAACATGTCTGATTTCATAAACAATTGCCATGTCAGTATGTCGCAATAATGCTGGGTCAATTGTTTTCTTCACACTCGTGTAAGAATGTCTCTCATCAGTCCGACTAAGATTTCCCCAACAAAACGATACAGGCATTGTTAACTTACCCGAAATCTTAATGTGAGGCATGACATTGTGGTTTTCAATATTGAAAACTACAAAAACGAAATAGGTTGGAAGTAAGAAACCCGTTACGTGTGTCAATGACGACCATATCTCAAATATGGGAACAGTTAATGGCCATCAAACAAATACAGACATCACATTAAACAGCATCACCGTCGTTTTTAGTATATTGTCAACATAAATTTCTTAATGCGTATAATTTATTGCATAGGCTTAGTTCGTTTGTATAAAGGTGGTCCGCCAAAAGTTTGATCAAGCTTTACCGGTCCGTCACTTGGAAAAGGTTGCCGACCACTGATCTAGCCAATTGTCATATACGTCGATTGAAAAATAAATAAATAATAAATTCATTTCAAGTTACCTCTTTTCCATTTGGACCTGTTGGTCCTGGCGGGCCGGAGTCTCCTTGCATTCCCTGGAAATTACATTAAATTATTTTGATAAGAATTATGTTAGTCATTTCTAAATTCAAAATTATTGATATGCATGAAGTTACATAGTTTGACAAATGAAAATAATAATACTAAAAAGAAATGACTGCTTCCATAGTCTTGAATTTTATTCTAAACATGAATATTTAATATCTGTCAAATTTCCATCTAGTCTACATAGTCCCTAAAACTGGCCTTAAACAATTTCACAAAAAGTTATGAGAAACTAAAAATTGAAAAAAAGCACACACACCTCTGGTCCTGGTGGACCCATAAGACCATCATTTCCTTGCTTTCCTGGTTTTCCTATTGAACCTGGCTGTCCAGTTTTTCCCATGGGACCAACTTCACCAATGTCACCCTGAATTTATTAAAAACTATTTTACAAAAAAAAGAGATATGAGGAGATTATATGGACAATATCTCTCATCTGTTACATAGAATACTTATGGTAATCGACTTTTTGAAAATCGAGTGGAATTGGAAAGAAAAACGAGCATTCTTTACTATTGGGTAACCTAAATCAGTGGCTCAGACTTAAGACAGTCGGAATCAGTCCAAGTATTTTGCTGGCTTGACAATATAAGAGGATTCCATTACATGATCATATAAACTGTCCCAAAACCGTCAGAAACGCATAAAAACCTCAAACTTACCTTTGCTCCTTTTTCACCAGATCTACCCTCTTTCCCCTCTGGTCCTGCAGGTCCCTAAAATATAGCAGTGAGCTCAAATCTTAAATCAAGATTCATTTATCTCAAATAAATCAAGTTTGCCTCAAACCACAGAGTAAATCAACCAGTGGCTTGCAATTCTCGTGATGGTCGATCTTAAGTGATTGTTCACTTAAGTAAAATATTATTGATAAGAGAACAGATACTATATAATAATGCAAGTAACATTCAATAATTGAAGATAGAATTATATCGCTTCATCTGGCAGTATATCAAATTCACTTAGCTAACACAGACAGTCCCCGAACTCGTAATAGAACTAAAAATAGAAAAATCTGAATGAAATTACAGCCTAACCTTAATCTGGTACACATACTACGGGAGTACCCATTATGGTGCATCAGCTATTTTGAACCAATGTTACTGGTTAGTTATAAATAACAATTTAAAACAGTAATAACAGGTTAAAACAATAAAAATTACATACTCTTGGTCCAGCTTCTCCAGGAGGTCCAGAGTCGCCTTCAGGCCCTGGTGGTCCCTGTTATAAATCCAAATTAATTTCAGATCGATAATTACAAAACATATAGTAGCCTACTACTTGGTCATCAATCTGCTTGGTTCTAATGTAAATTCACAACATCAGATTTAAAAGTAACAACTGGAAGAGTTTTTATTTTTGTCATACCAATACATGACATAATATCTTTAATCAATTAGTGTCTTACCCGTTCCCCTTGATCTCCATCTTCACCTTTATCACCAGCTTCACCGTCAACACCAGGAGGTCCCATCATACCTTGGGGACCTGGGTCACCAGGGAATCCAATTGGTCCCTAACAAAATGATGAAACAGATATTATAAAAATATCACAGTATACAAAAGTACCAGATCATGTTGTAAGCCCTAAACATTAAACCACAACAAGATGTAACAGAAAAATAATTATTACCTGATGTCCTTTAGGTCCATCTTTACCACGTGGTCCTCTCGGTCCTGGCTCACCTTGAGATCCATCTGTTCCTCTATCTCCTTTCGTTCCCGAGGCACCTTTTGACCCTGCTGGCCCCATATTGCCGGGACCTCCAGGTGCTCCAGGATTGCCTGCATCTCCTTTTTCACCAACACTACCAGGCTGACCTCTAGCTCCAGGTGGACCCATTGGACCCTGTTATGAAATGCATACTGATCACACTGAAAAAAAGACAAAAAAAAAGTTCAAATCAAATAAAAAACTTACCTCAACACCTGATGTACCCTGTGGCCCCCGTTGCCCAATTGGTCCAGGAGGTCCCTAAATATAAGAATAGTATAAACTAAATGAAAACACTTGTCTGGTGATATTGCAACATTGTTGGATTCACTGTCATGCTTCTGTTGCTGACAGTGGCCCACAAACAACAAATCAAACATGGAAATAGATATACTCACAAGTGGTCCAGTATCACCATTGTCACCCTTCAAACCAGTTGACCCAGGAATTCCTTGCAATCCTCTCGGTCCTGGGGGACCAGAGAAGCCACGAGATCCTTCATCACCCTTTGCTCCATGTAGACCTTGTTGTCCCCTTGGTCCAGGTTCTCCATCATTTCCGGCAGGACCAGGTTGTCCAATTGGTCCTTGTTCTCCTGGTGGTCCTGGAGGACCAAAGTCTCCTTTCGAACCTTTGAGCCCTTGCGCACCTGGTGGTCCAGTTTCACCTTTGTCACCATCTTCGCCTCTACCGCCAACTAGTCCAGTTGGTCCTGTTTGACCAGGGGGTCCTTGCAATCCATCTCTACCAGCTGGTCCAATAGCACCCATTTCGCCCTTTAAAAATCGTATATAAATAAAATTGACACTAGGCTAGCTGTTCAGCGCTATGAATACTATATTTATATTCAACATACCGGTTCGCCCTTTTCTCCCGCTGAGCCTGCTGGTCCATCCGGTCCTGGTCTTCCCTGAAATTATAAAATTCGAATAAGCAAACACATCACAAATCTATGCATGGCAATCATAGCAAACACTCACTGGTTGTCCGATAGCTCCTGTTGGTCCGGGAGGCCCAGCTGCACCAGATGAACCCTATTAGAATTATTATTATTAGATTTTTTTATTATTATTATTATTATTAGATTATTAGAATTAGATATTATGATTTACATTATTGTGCCAGATTGAATCAAAAACAAAATGGTGCAGAAACCAACAATAAAATATTATCTGTGTAAAGCAGAGTGTATTTAACATGGTTTTCCAAATGTGAAAAATAACTATGGTATGTTAGTTGTTACAATAGAAACAATATCAACAATCGGCATGTCAACGACGAATAACAATTGTTTGATAAGATCCGAGGTACCAGTTATACCAAATAGCCTCGAAGAACACATGGCAACCCTATTTTAAAAAACAATGGAAGCATCAAATCCTAATTTTCATTAAATATTATTTTAAAATTTAACTAATAACTATATATTTTATGTAAATATGATCATGTAATAAATACATCCATCCACTCATTATAAATAAAGTACTTCATATTTATTGGACCACAAACAAGAAATATGTGAAAAAGAGCTGCATTAATAAAACTTTACCTGTGGTCCCGGTGGTCCTGCTGGCCCTTCACTACCTTTCACTCCAGCCGGTCCCCTTTCACCTTGAAGACCTCTGTTGCCCGGAAAGCCTTGTAGCCCAGGTGGTCCTACTTTACCTTGCAACCCAGCCGGGCCAGGATCCCCCTAGTAAAAGAAATGTATAATTATTCATGCCTGACTTTTCTCGAATGCAAAGCATGGTAACAAGATCTTGTTGATCCATGCATGGGTACGTGAACATCTGCAGCAGAAGACGTCAATATTAATAGTAAATTGTGCAGCCAATTCAAAGCCAAAAATAACATAGGGTCAGCATCTGTAGCTGATTCCTAAATGTGAGAAACACATATTAAGACTTCCAATAACAGGAAATAACGTTACCTTTGCTCCTTCTTTTCCAGAACTTCCGGGGAGTCCAGGTTCACCAGACAAACCCTACAAAAGAAATAGGGTTTATTAATATTATTAAAGTATTGCTGGCTTAATTAATCAAATTAACTTGCATAAATTGCTGGAACAGAAATATTTACAACTGATTTTATTCCAAAAATAGATAAAAAATCCATGCTCACTTGTGGTCCAGGATGTCCAGTCATTCCTGTGGGTCCAATCTCTCCATTGGGTCCCTGAGGTCCCACCACACCTGATGGACCAGGTGGACCTGTTTTACCTTGGAACCCCTGCGAAAGACAAATAGTTGAACGAAAAAAGCAAATATAGAGACTACTTCTAAAAATACCAAATAAAAAATATTAAATATTCTACATCATAACAAACTTACAGTGTCACCACGAGCTCCTGGGTGGCCTGGCAAACCGTCTTTTCCTGCTGGACCTGGAGGCCCTTTGGATCCTTGGAAACCAATAGGACCAAGAGGCCCAGGTGGTCCTCTTTCCCCAATAGCTCCAGTTGGCCCATCTTGCCCCCTTTCGCCTTTTACACCGGGCTTCCCAGCTACTCCACGAAGACCACGATCTCCCCTTGGTCCCTAAAATAAATTTTGATGTAAAGGATGATCAAGTGTGGTATTACTTTAATCTTTTTAAACAAGTATTGACCAAATCTTCACCAATAATCGAAGCTAACTGAATTATTCTATTTTCTTACCCGTGGACCTCTTTGTCCTTGATCTCCTGCTTTTCCAGATGGTCCCTGCGAGTGATGAAGAATAGAATCAGATACAAAATTAATTTATGTTTCATTGAAACAAGGCATCATACAAAGAAAGTAAATAACGCAACCATATTGGTTTAAGTTCTCAAGCTAGCCTGACTTATCATAAATCTTATTTGTTTGATACTTTACTAATGTTAGGAACTGCTCTAGTATTTCATAGAATCACACTGTAGAAATAAAATCAGAAAACTTCATTTTGCTCGAAATTCAAATTCTAATAAAAACTAATTTATAAATTGCCATACAAAAAGGAAAACGATTATTATATTTCCACATCTTGGTGGCAGAATTTGATTGTCTTCTCAACAATTCTATAAACAAAAATATGATATGTTCCGAAGAACAATTAATTATTAGTAGTAGTTTAAATGATTTGAGTATTACATTATTATTGGAAGGTTTCAAGGTATTGTGAATTTGTGATTCAATTTATGAATTAACATATAACACAATTAGAAACTGGTGAAGGAAGATTCGAAAGTGACTTGGTTGTTGATCATGCTATGTTAATTGATGGTATATTGCTAATTCAGGGGGTTAGTATCACAGACTCAAAAATTCTTACCCTGCCTCCTTTGGGCCCGTTCAAACCACTTCTGCCTGATGATCCTTTGGATCCCTTTCAATATTAAATGTAAATTAATAGAGGTATAAAATAAGCATGTTACCTTTTCTCCCTTTTCCCCTTGTAAGCCTGGTTTTCCATCCGGTCCAATCTCACCCTGTTATATGATAAGCAGGATAAAAAATTAACATAGAAACTAAGAAATCCTCTTTTCTTCAAATCTCTAATCAAAATTTGATACAAAAAATGAATCCATTACATATCCAAATATTAAGATATATTCAAACCTTTATTCCTCTTCTTCCGGGATAACCTTGCATTCCAGTTACACCAACATTTCCCTGAAAAGTATATGCTAATTAGTATAAGCTAATTAATGACATCTAATAGGGTCATAATAGTTATCAGTAAATTTAGGTGTCGCTGACAAGTTAAACAAGTTAGTTAATGACTTTAACTTTATAGTTTAGTTGCGGTTCCTTGTATATTGCAGTTGAAATGTTGTATTTGTTATTTTTTTTTTCACACAATTGATTTGTTTTTTATGTTTATTTGTACAATATTTCTTGCACGACAGAAATAACTAGTTGAATCTGAATAAGAGGTAGGATTGTCTAATATTTTTATGAGGAAAGCTGGAATGAATCAAGGAAGGAATTCAAGCAATCAGATAAGGACACAATGTTTGTGTATTTGTGATACTTACTTTTTCTCCTTGTGTTCCAGGAGGTCCAGGTTCCCCTCTTTGACCTTCCCTTCCCTAGAGAATAAGTAAGAATAAATTATGATATTATATAATTATAAAACATACATTCGAGATGAATTGGATGATTCAATTTAAGAATAATGTAAGTTTGATTGTAAACTTTTTGTGGTAGTATGTCATACGATATATGCTGCAGTATTGGATTCCATCATGATGTATACAATTAGAAGTATCAATTGTACAGAATAAGTGATCTTCAATATTTAATTCATTTTCAAAAACTATCTTGGCCGTTTCTGATTGCCTTAACTTGGTTTGATTAATCTTTCAAATTAATTATTATAATGAACCTTCGAAAATGATTGATAACTAATGACATGACTTCCATACCTTTGATCCATCCGGACCATCTGCTCCACGAGGTCCTGGAGGTCCCAAAACACCCTAAATCAATTTTAGTGAGTTTATAAAAGTTTTTCATATTTAAATACCATAACAATACAGGTTATTACAGGAAATGAAAAGTAGAAAGCATGCCACTTTTATATAGATTAAACTGAACTGATTGTTTAATAGCAAATTATAATAAATAAAAAACTACTTCTAATTTTAAAATACTCAAAATTAGGAGTAAAGAAGTAGAGCATATGTAATGTTGTAGGTACAATTTAACTTTGCATCAAATATTTTGTCCGTATTTTGACATCAAGTATTAACTTAAACAGCTAGATTTTTCATAAAATTACAGCATAGACTTGCTCATAAGAGGTTTGTTACTGAAAACATACCTGATCTCCTTTTGGTCCCATGTCACCTTTGAACCCAGAAAGACCATCACCACCCTGGTATAATAAAGTGAAAGTATTAGTTATAATCACCTATTCATATCAATGTAAAGCAAGATTATCAAATCCACAAATCAAACATAACATATATGATAGAAATATCAAATTCGTGGACAAAAATAATGAATAAAGTCATTTTAAATTCAATGTAGTTTTCACTTCACCTTTTCCCCTTTGTGTCCCTTGGGTCCTCTGACGCCCGATTCACCCGTCACTCCTCTTGAGCCGGGAAAACCTTGGGGTCCTTGTCCTCCTGCTGGTCCCTGAAAATTGAAATTTATAAATATCGTGTGATATAGGAAAGATGTTGGGACACAAAAAATTTAATATTCGTTAATTCCACTATTATATTTTTTTGAATATTCTAACCTGAACCCATTGCAATCGATCATACATATAAGATTTTCAGAGATTCAGATATTACTGAATATTATAATATTATAAATATAATATAGTGATACATCTACCCGATTATATGAATAACTGCAGATGAATCTACAATGTAGAATAATAAGAAACAAAGTAGCTCAGAGAACTGAGTTCTGAGGAATTAATAAATAGTGCCTGGTATTATGGGACTGAGTGGAACATTCCCAGCAATCAGAAAAGAGGATGCAGATATATAGCAATTCAGGTAAAAAAAATTAGAGATGATTTAAACGATTTCAATTATTCAGGTTAACTTGGCATCAGTGAAACTGGATGTTTTGAATTAACACAAAGAAAACCAGAGGTGCTAAATATAAATAAAATTAAACAATTTTGGTGAAACTTGACAATAATAAGAATTTTATTATTCTAAAGCAGAATCATAGATGTATACAACGTGATATCATCCTTCATTGAAAAAGTTTTCATTAGTTGATAAACACATTTTGTTCTTCTCCTGGTCCTATCAATGTTCATTTCTGAATTTTTTTGCACAAACAGAATTTTCTATCTGTTAGTGTGTAGCAAGATTTCTGATTTACCAAAAATATAACTCAAAAAAGTGTATCACAGTCATTCATCTCGAATTTTTTTCGAAACTTCATTGTGAATGCTTATTTTATCAGTATATAGCAAATCAAATTAACACTGTACAAGATGCAGAAAATATGCATACCAATGATCCCTTCGCTCCTACAGTCCCTTCTTTTCCGGGATGACCTGCTACTCCGTCTTGGCCTGGTAATCCAGGCAAACCTGATTTTCCAACTGGTCCTTTGGCTCCTGGGGGTCCCATGTGGCCTTGGGGTCCTGTAACACCCTAAAGTAACATGGTGATATTTAGTGAATTTTATAAATAGTTGGTTGTATTCCTAGGTATTGTTTGGTCCAACTATTGCATATTTGATTTATCTTGAAAAAAATTAAAAAAGTACCTGTGAACCTGGTGGTCCCTGCTGTCCCGGGGGACCTGGAATACCTTGTGGTCCTAAACTTCCCTTTATACCTGCCGGACCATCAACACCCCTGGGACCCTGTAAAGAAAAAAACATTGATGGCAATATAACTTTAAATGTTGCCTAGCCAAAGTCTTCTATTCATTTTTATAAGTTTTACAAACAACATGATGAGAAAAATAATGCCAAATAAAATGCATAACATGTCCCAATCAGACATAAACTGAAATTTGAATAATATTTCAATTTGCATTAGCCATAATGATAAAAACTTTTGTAATAGACTACATTGCAATGAATTTTTTTACTAAAATACATACCATCGGTCCTCTAGTTCCAGGTGAACCTTTATGTCCAATTAGCCCACGTGGTCCCTAGAAAAAGCAAATATATATTAAATTATAATAGATGTGATCTATTGCTTGAAAGTACTGTTCGAACACTATTTGGTATTTTGATATACAGAAGCCATAATCTGATTGTGTAAGACAAATCTGCATTTTACAACCAAAAGCTCCGTTTTAAAAGTTATTTTCTTGTGAGAAATCGTTTGTATTATTGAATGAAAACTCACTTGCTGGCCTGGCAATCCCCTGGGTCCTGCTTCTCCTGGTTTTCCGTTGGAACCTCCAGGCCCTTGAAGTCCTTTGGGTCCTCTTTCACCCGGCAATCCCTGAAAACAGAAAGTTCACTGTATTATTTAACTGATTTTTTTGTCAGAAAGCTATAAAGTTACATAGAATGTAAAAATACATGTGAACTTTAATTAATCTACACATGGCAATTTTTATAGAATGAATGTAACATCAACTTACCCTATATCCCTTGTGGCCTGGAACTCCTGGCATTCCATTGTAACCTCTTTCACCCTGACAAAAATTTTGAGATTTTATTGTACTTTATTCAAAGCTCCTTCTAATAATGTGTACAAAAAAATATATATTTACCTTGTTGCCAGGAGGCCCTGATATTCCTCTGGTTCCTGGTGCACCTGGTCGACCCTGCGAAATGTTTTATTCAGTTAGCATTTTCGAATACAAAATGGATTGAATACCCTTTCTCCCTTTGTACTTTCATCACACTATTATTCAATATATATACACTGAATTTAGTTACCATTTCAAACATCAATCCATATTTATATCATCCACTTACAAAAGCAAAATCAGACCTAATATAAAGGGTGTCAGTAAACTCTGGACACATGAAATAATTACGCTAGATATTTTAGTATACAAAAAACAATATTATTTTACCAATCACTATTTATTTATATTTAAATAACATCTTCATTATTTGAAATGCAAATGTTAACACATTTTGAAAAATTTGCACGATTTAAATAATCTACATTGCCATCAATTTTGGTACAATCATTTTAATTTATTGAGTTCAGTGAATTTGATTCCTGTCACACTTTCTCTTTCAGTATAGCACAGAAAAAGAAATCAAGCAGACTAAGGCCTGATAAATGAGGAAACCAGTTCACATCATCCTGCCTTCTAATCCAATTGGGAAAATTGTCACTCAGCCAATTGATTACCTTTGCCATAAAATGGGCAAGAGCGCCATCCTGTTGAAATCACAATGAAAATCCTTCACCAACCATATAAAGTTGGTCATTTAATTTATCTTTCAGTTGAGTGACAATTTTCCCAATTAAATAGGAAGACTAGGGTAAGTGGAGTGGTCTCCCCGTTCACCAGACCATATTTCACTCAATTTCTTTATCGGGATATGCTAAAGGAGAAAGTGTACTCAATGAAAATTACAAATTTAATACACTTGAATCAATGAATAAATACGAGAATGTGTCAAAATTGCTAGCAATTGGCAATGTAGATTTATTGCATCAAGTCCATGCAAATTATGTGAAATGCATTAACATTTGCATTGCAAATGGTGGAGATCATGTTGAACATGTTTTTTAAATTTAAAAAAATAGTGAAAATAATATTAATCTTAATTTCATACCGGTGGCGGTACTAAATATATTGAATTATCTTATGTGTCCAGACTTTAGGGACACCCTAGCATAATAATGATTTGTAAAATTATGCAAAAATCTTCCTACTGGACGATATACGAAGTTTTAATTAAAAAAGGAACCAACTAGTTTGTTTTTTGTATAAAATTGGATTCAAAAATTTTATTTCACTAAATAACTCATTCCCAGCATAGTACTTCATGATACGAAAAATATCAAGTATAAGTCAGATTGATTGACCATTTACATTGTCACTTAGTTGGTATACATACCCACTAAAAGGTAATTCGAACTTACAGATTTTCCCTCTTTTCCAGGTTGTCCAGGTGGTCCTCTTGAACCTCTAATACCCTAAAGTTTATAAAAAATTTTATCTCTTCAATTCATGTACATGAGACATAAATTTCATAGAAAGCATAAGCATGGAATATATTATATAACTCCATCAAAATCAAAGAAGGTTATGCACAGTTACATCTAACTTCACTTATTCACTAGTGCGTATAAGTGCCATTAGTTGACATAAACGGTTAATATTAAGTAAGTTGAGAATAATAACTTACCATCGGGCCAGGATCTCCTGGTTCACCCTTGATACCTTGCAGACCCGGTACACCCTACAATATCAATAGGTGAATAAATGATGAACACGCAAAATTAGCAAACAATTATGGCCTAGCATCAATCTTCTATGCGAATGTGCATCGCCATAACAGTCATGCTAGTTTAAAATCTAAAAGATTGTCTTTCTCGGAGTAAACTTATCTTTTACATCTGTGTTACAATACAATCATACCTTTTTGTAAACTACAATCGTCATGATTGGAATTTCATATTTCTCCAATATTTCCCGAACTGAAATTATCAAACTTGAAGACTATTTTTTCCTAATAAATTACTTTTAGCTTCTTTGAAATACATAATAGACAGAAAGTCAGAAAACATAAAACAATATCACACTTACAACAGGGCCTGACGCTCCAGGCAAACCAATGGGCCCTTGAAGACCTCGAAGTGCAATCTGAAAATAAAACAAAATATAATATTCAAACTGTCGAATATGTTGAAAGTTTGATTGGGCTGTAGATTGATATGTTATAGACTGACATTTATCGAAGTTTTTATATTCTGAAAATCGTCAATAATCATAATTTACTTACTCTGGCTTGGGATATCATCATTTGTGCTTGTAGCTCTGAAGCCGCAAGCCCTCCTGGCCCTTTTTCCGATCCAGATGTAGGCATACGAAACTAAATAAAAAATGGTAGAACTAGAATCGAGTCAACAGTACACCAAGTCTGTAATGTTGTTTTGATATGACAGATGGGAAATATCAAATTTGTGGACAAGTCCTTAATGTGAAAAGGACTGGGAACCGATTTCACAAAAACTCATCCACAAATTGAATTTATTCAACAACACTTTAACTTACATTCGGGCAATAGAGTGTAGGAATTTTTTAGTTTTTACCTGAATTACACAGTATTTCAGACAATGAAATTGCAATATTGTGCAAAAAAACGAATGTATTCATATGACAAGGCGCTTCAGCATGTTTCAACTTTCAAGAATGACCGAAAACATCTGTATCAAATTTCATCTTACAATTTCTCTCACTAAATCTTCAGGTAAATCCAAAATAATAGACAACTCCATCAGTTAGTAGATAACTATATAATAAGTTAACCAATAAAACATAATTCATTAAATAAAATGTTTCAAAACTCTTTATTATTTTATGTCATTTTTATTTGTCATTTCATGATATTATGTCTTTATTTCATCATCCAGTTGCTGCTGGAGCTGCATCAGGTACTTCTTGGTCTTGGAAAAATCCTTCTGGACAGTAACATCCGTATGAATAGTATGCAAACACAGCGATCAAAAAGACAACTCCAACTGAGTAAAAAAAATCAACCAATCCCGCCCCACCATCTTCAGGGTTATCCATTGTTTAAATTTGTTGAAATATGGAAAATTACAATTTTTTATTCATTTGTGTTCAATAGTCAATTGTGATGTAATAATGGAATACTTGATAACATACCGGGATCATAATTTGTTGTCCTGCAGGCCCAGGAAGTCCTTTCTGTCCTGGAATACCATCTCTACCAGGCTCTCCCTAAAAAAAATTGAAAAAACAGTCAAAGATATGTGAAAATGATCAAAAGAAATATTCAACGATCAAAAAAGGTATAATGGTTGAAAAGGCATATCTTATATTGCCAAGGAAGTAGGTTGCAAGTCAAATGATATGAAATTTAAATTTTAAATCATGCAAAAGAATGAAACTTTATACGTATACTCACCCTTTCACCATGTTCACCAGGTACACCAGGTGCTCCTTGATACCCAGGAGGTCCAGGATCTCCCTTAGGTCCCATTGGTCCTGGAGGACCAGGAATGAACATTCCCTGAAGAATAAGAGAATATATATAGATCGCATTAAACAAGATCATGCATTATATTTTCAAATTCTAGGAAAGGCCACGTAGGTATCGGCGAATTGTCCATTATAATAAAATGCAACAAAATATATTATTTCAGGGCCAACCAGGGTTGTCCAAAACGAATCGAATATTCGAATATCCAAGTATTCGAATACCTTTTCAGCTGATTTTTAAATAATTCCGAATGATAGCCACTTTTTGTCGTAAACACGGTGTTTCGTTTTCGCAGGAATCTTCGTATTTTGTATTGTAATGACGTTAAAATAGAATCGGCACTTTGATTGTTTGTATTCTGTGCGAGCATGCGTCTCATGTTGTTGCGACACTTTTGCATGGTGTACATTGCCCCCATTGCCCTACAAGGCTTCTAATTTCAACATTCATTTCCATTACATCGAAAAATTAAAAATTATTCAATGTCGAAATTGTTATGATATCCAATAAATTGTCGCAAGACGGAAAAACAAGTCCATTTATTTGGAAAAAATAATTCATACTTTTTTGGCTTTTTGGCAAATAATTTTGATGTTAAAATTTTCGACTTTTTATTAGGGTGATTTTCTGTCGTCCAAAATATTCATATCCATCACCTTTACCAGCATATGAAATTATGCCCGATTAATTTAATTTTGTTCATCGCAACATCAATCTGTGGACATGAAATGTGTGGTATAAACTGCCCGGTTATAATTAATTTCTGATTTCTATTTTCGTATTTACAAAATAAAAAGTATTATTTTATTAATTCAAAATACACCAGCGATCTGCGGACTTAGGATGTGTGGTAAAGTGTCTGAATATAATTAATTTTTGATTCGTATTTTCAGACACTTCATTTCTCATGTTTCAAGTTGTTCCATTTCAGTTATATTTATGTTGATATCACATGTCAGTAAAATCAGCAATTAATAAGTGTTACTCAAGATTGATTCTTACAGGTTCCATCACAGCTTGATCGCCTTTTTGCCCCTTCGCTCCTTTTGTGTTGTCGCCACTGCCATCTGTTTCAGATGAATCTCCACCATCTCCTCTTCCTCCTGGAGTTCTAGTTGGAATTATGAGACTATCGAAGTCACCTTCAGACCCACCCTGAATTTAAAAAAATTAAAATTGGTAAATTTTATGGCAGGGCGGATGCAAGATGAGATAACTGCCACAAAGTTTGATATGACTGAGAAATCTAATATCAAAAGAAAATCTTTTTAGAGCCATTGTTTGATCTTGGTCAAAATCAAAATGGATTTTATCCTATTTATGCTTGACATGCGTTAACACCAGCTATATTAAGAGGTGTACATTACAATTTTGAAATAGTACTCACCACTTCAACTTCGATCTCAGGTGGAGAAAATCCCGCAGCCATCTGTAGACAACCTGGCGTAAAGTCTTGGCACATGAAACCGGCATGGGTTGGATCATTCGTCATTTCAAGTTGGTAAATCGATCCCTGAAATACAGAAATATTGTAGATTGCAGAAATGGAACTAATATGATTATCATTAATTTAAAAAACTACACAAAAAACACTGACAAGAAACTGATGTAAAATTAGAAAACAAATTACTTTGAATCCAACATTTGACTTCCCAGGATCACCAATGATTAAATCACCATCGCCATTCAGCAAAGTTTTGAAGTTTTTCCTTGTGATGTTCGTGTCCATTACTAAGTCACAGTCAACATAGAATTGCACTCGATCATTGTATACTGACCAAGCTACCCGGTGCCATCTAAAAATAGCACAAAGCAGATTTGAATGATTTGAAGTCAATTGCATTCAAAACTATCAAAGAATTGAAAATATAAACAACTGTTGGCTTAACAAAATATTGAATCCACCATTCCAGCTACTTTCGAAAATATATTAAAATTCAACAATATTAGCAATGTGAAATATAAATTGGCAAAAGTATCGAATATCATCTGTTACTGACTCTTTCGATGAAAATGCCACAGGATCCTTCTTTGTTCCAAACACAGCATTTCTTTGCTCCACAACCGGTCGTTTCATGTCCTGATAATAAAATTCAGGTTGCGTTCCAACTTGAACACCAAGTTGAATCCATTCATCTTCATGACGGAGCGACAATAGATGTGCACTCTTCTGATTCTTGTATGGTTTGATTGTAGCAAAAATACTGAACTCATCCGGAAAAAAACCTGTTGGCAATAGAATTCGAAACAAAGAATTTGCTGGTTAGTTTCTCTAAAAGAAGCTGATTAACTGTGATGAGAATACTAAGGTCTACTACTAATTCATTACAATTATGATTTCCAAAAATATTCAAGTAAACAGCAAACAGCATACTATATTAAGAAGACACAAGTTTCAACTCCAGAGGACAATAAATAAAGTAAGGATAACGGAAGTAACAAATTTAAGAGTATCAATGTTTGAAGGGAAAGTGATGAATGACGCAGCAGTGTATTGATAAAAGATTGAGTTATTGGAGAAAGAATTATATAAATGAAAAGCTTGAATATCTTGAGTGAAGGAATGGAAGACAAACAGCAGTTCTGTAGATTAATTAACAGTAATTTTGATAGAAACAAGTGTAGAAAGCCTGTTCAGATAATCACATCTCATTGAAGAGAAAGATTTATAAACCCAAATGTTGGCAATTTGTTGGAACAATGTAATATTTAGGTCAACTTTGAACATTACAACTGTTTTATTACAAAGTTAATTGATTGCCAAGTACAATGTGTATATTTTTAGGGTCAAAATTTCTATCAATTTCATATAGCATAAAAAATTACCCTCTGGAAAAATTTCTCGAGTTTTAACTGTCTTCGATTGTCCCGAAGAAAACTCATAGGAATCTAGATATCCGTTGTCACAATAACCCTCAGTTCTTGGAAGATTGGAACTACTCAAGTTGAATCTTGATATGAAGTCAATCCGTTCTGTAATGCAATGATGGTGATTGGCATTATAAATATTTTGGTCACCTATCTGTGATGATACTATATTTAATCATACTTTTCGACTGCAGAGGATGCATTTCCTTCCTTTATACTTACACATTGGAAAAACCTAAAGGTGGGCGGTTTTGAAACAGATTTTACTTTTACGACTTACTGTTTCCCCAAAATTAATTTTGGGAGTGAAGACAGCCAAATTCAGAATAACAAACAATATGGCGAATATTGTCAAAATTGACAAAAAGTAAATATATATAAAAAACTAAATAGGACAGAAGGGTATAATTTTGATGGTACCACGTAGTAAAACTAAAGTTTGATGGCATCTTCCAGAAGGATTTATCAAAGGACTAAGCATAAAATGTGGCGCATCATTCGAACATGTATACAATTGGACATTAATAGACCGCCCCCAATGTTAAATAATTCACAACTAAGTTCAATCAATAGTAGATAATATGGGTGAATCAAATATTAAAGTATATATATAATTAAATTAATGTATGAGACAAATATGTACCGACTATTCAAAAGATAACTTAAATAAACTAATAGCATCTACAAGCAATCGTGGAACAATCGTGTGAAAAACACGTTCATGAGTTGTCGTCATCACCCCTTTTTCGTGCGTTCTTAGAGCCAGTGAATTGCGCCAGAATTAGTTCTTATTCCAAAATCATGTCTACGGCGGAAACCACTCAGAATGAGCGAGTCATGCGAAAACCACAACTAAGCAAAAGCCCAATTTTTAGAAGCAGCGAGGCATGCCTCGCTGATTACTAACATTAAGAAGGGGCAAACTGAGAAGTGTTTGTATCACAAGTCTATCACAAAAACACATTCGTGCATATCGATTTTTTCAAGAAAAAAAAAATTTCGACCACAAACATCATCGTCAGACGCATTCGGTTTCCTAACACAGAGTTTGTGGCGCCATAGAATGTATTTTTTCAGTGAAGGAAATGATCACGTAGAATCGATTGTTCACATTTTAGGAACAGCGATCTTCTGGCTGGATAAACTTGCGAATAAAGATAAAAGTTTGAATTTCCCACTTTTTATAGAAAGGAATATTAGCCAAATCGATATGTCTGCAAAACGTTCATCGACCACACAGATCGATAATCGATCCATGTTGTCGTCCCTCGTCTCTCTTGGGAAAATACGAAATCCCAATCCGACGCGAAATGTCTATTTCTAAATTTATATCGGTTCCAAGACTGCGCAACAATGCACGCGTCACGTGCCTATTACGTTTAAAATATATATAAACATATGCATAAACCCTTTGATTTTCATGAATTGATTTGGAATAAGGATATACGAAAATGGCAAATGCTATGTCACATGTGTTAAAAATAAAATTTCACCGATATGGTAAGAGTTCGTTTGAGCAAGTCACGAGATGAATTCTTGAAATGAGGGAAAAAATGAATGCAAAAGACACAATAGGGTATTTCGATAAAATGAAATTTTCAAATTCTAAACCTTGATTTGACAAATAAGACGACGAATAAAGTCAAATGTGAAATGAAAATAACTTACCGTAACCCGCCACGACTTGCAGACAAAACAACAGACATATGAAGCTATGCATCCAAGCTGCTGAATTAGGCAGTCGAAGTTTCGCGCGAGTCCATTTCCAATATTGTGACGAAACAATGGACGATGTGCTGGTGCCCATTGTGTCGTCAGCAACTAAACGATTCTCGCCTCCGTGGTTGGCGGACGATACGCCCGTCTTCAGGCTATCTGCCGCGCTTCTATAGGTTGTGTTCTTCCTGGCGCACGTAGTTGTGTTTCTTCGACCGCCGCGCCCAGCCTAATGTTCTTCTTTTCCGAGGCTAAGTTCTCTTGATGGCGCCTTTCCCTCTTCCTTCTCCGCACCCTCTGACGAGAGGGAGAGAAAGGCTAAATTGGTGACACCCTCGTTTTGCTTCGCGGTATACCTTTTTCTTTGCGTGCGTGCGAAAATTCGCTCGGCGGCGCGACAGCTTGTCTGCTGAACTGCTTATGGGTTGCAATTTAAGTCTTTGTGTTATTTGCCAAGTTTAGCAATCACCGCAAATGCGGCTTCAGTTCGCAGACTCTCTCTGCATGGCTGCTAATATTCACTTCACAACAACAACTGCAAAATAACGAAGAAACAAGGATAGATTGAGCAGTTAGTCTGACTTTGAAACACAAACCCCAAATAACTAATTCCAGGGATCGACCCAATAATACACCAAAATGAAACGCTACATAACGGCTTCCCAGCGAACCATGAATTGAAAGACACCAAGTAGGCTTATAGGCGCGGCCAACAAGCGAAACTTATCGAACAAGAATACCACTAATATCTATACAGCTTTTAGGTATCCGTACTCGCGTACGACTTCTGTCCTTTGACAACTCATCTCCAGTATGACGAATTTAAATCTCTCATTGCCATTCATAAACCAACACAATATTTAGGCCGTATAAATATCGTGAGTTATTGTCAAGTCGGTGTGATATTGAAAGGATCAAACATCGAATTTACATAGCAAGCAGACATGCTGATTAAGCCCTAATCAGCAAAAGAGTTTTACAAACAAATTTTATAATTTCTTTTGTTGAGGTTCTTCAACAGCCATGTCATATATTTTTATAAATTGTTACCAAATACTATGCAGGCGTTTGTTTTTATTATAAACACCAACGAAAATGTTTTAATCTTTTTACAATCCCGTTACATCATTTATTCATTTAAAAAAGTCAAAGTGAATAGCGCCAAATCCGACACAATAAATTTTAGCGAGGGACCGACAATAGCTTTCCAGTTGTTACGTTGTATGCAGATTCAATGATAAATTCACTATATGTAAGCAAGATATCTTTCAGCTGTGGAAGAAACATTTTGGAAAAATTTTCAACAAAGAGATAACCTGTTTGTTCAGTTACAGACATGTAATTGAAAGTAATAAAGGAAACGATTGGTTGCTATCAAGAGGTCCTCTACTTCCTCGTTTTTTTTATATACTAGATACATTGGAGTTTGACATTCATATCATATTTTCAAGGATACTTTGTTAACAGTTGAGGTTTCGTGAAACTAACTACCTTTCCTTGCTCTCTATGCCTTTGCGCATGTGGATCCGTATGCGTATTACGCAAGGATGCTGTAGCAAAAGTGTAAATGGCTATTCTATTCAATTCAAAAGTCTTGCTGCACACGAACACAAATATATTTCTGTAACTACCGAGGTCAGACGAAACGTTACAGAAATATATTTGTGTTCGTGTGCAGCAAGACTTTCGAATTGAATAGAATACTTTGTTAATACTTCGTTTACAAACATTCGAATATAATTTTCAGTGAACTTTTTTTTGAAAACGCAAATATAGTTGCATCTGCTCTATTCGAGTGAACTGCAATGAGTGATAATTGATAGCCTCCATCAATAATATTTCGACATATTAGTTGTTCAAATTAACCTTGTAGGCCCTGCCCAGTTTATTTTAGTAACGTTGTATTGGTGGGTGGATATTCCAACAATTATTGAATTTTATCCGGGAAAACGAATTACATTTAGTATCCATAATTGCAAAGCACAAACAAACGTATTTTATCGCATAAGGTTAAATGACGGAATTGAAATTTTTCATGCTTCCAAGAGCGATGTGCATTTTAAACGCCCTACATATCTACATAAAACATTCATACTGGTGGAAGTGAATTAAATAATTTCGCGTGAAACCATTAATGTCGATTACACAAAGTTGCGGACTTCGCACATTAACGGTCGGCCCATTGTTTAAATATGACGTTCGTTGTATAATTGAACTAAAAACGGCACCGAACTGGGTCAGCCTAATTTCCCTGCAATAATTTAACGACCATTGTTTCTTACTATATTACCCATTAGATAGCGAACCATGATTAAATTACCTATTGTTCTCTTATTGAAATTAGGTCTCAATGCGAATTTTTTCTTTAATATCTCTATTGTTGGCCGAGCATGGATCAGACACCAACTGATAACAATCACAGAGTGTGGATTTATAGAGTAGATTTATATTCGAGTGGCAATATAAAGTGTATTTTCCCAACGTATTTTCAAAAGGTCACAGACTGCGATACCATTTTGTTTTCGTGCAAGCAATGTAGAAACTGTTAAATACGGCGCAGATCTTAATTTTTAAATTTTCAATAAGAAGGTTATTGGAATTTATCACCACGTTACCATTTCGAGTAGCAGGAGGAAAAGTGGTAAAGTGAAATAAGACATAAAATATCCATCTCGCCCTGCAAATACCAATTTATGAGCTGAAACGTTTGCCCAATGATAGCAGTAAATGATTCAATAACTATATATATTAACTTCAATCAATGACTAAAAACGGTACTCCTGTATAGTGTGTGTACCAAGTTAGGGTTAGGCCATAATTTTATTCCGATTTTCCTTATTTTAGTTCTATTACGAGTTCGGGGACTGTCTGTGTTAGCCAAGTGAAAATACCCCCTACCCATAGTAATCAGTCCCCTTACACAACTTGATGTAAAGTAGACGAACAAAATTAATTACCCCCATATTAGTACACACACTTCTGGAGCGCCCTAAAAACATTTGCCATTTTAGACTAGTTTATAACACAGATGTTCCGAAAATGCCTATAATTGTTATTACGTTCATCAACTAGGGCTGCGTATAGTTAACCGGTTTATCGTTCAATCGTTATTAGATGATTGCCGGTGACAATTAGTTTGGATGTTTAACTATCGTCCAAGGCGCAACTAAGATTTTCCTATTTAATTCTCATAATAAAAATTAATTTGCATGTATTATTTATTATCTTGTGATCTTCAATTCATAATATCAATAATTGACTTATGCCAATAAAATACCTTAAAAAAACTTTGACTGGTAGAAGAAGAAATGTGTCAATACAAAATTCATAAGCAGTTACCGATCAGAATACAGTGCCCTTGATTCAATAAAAATCGCATGATATTCGAAACGTGCGAACTTGGTCAAAAGGATATAGTTTCCGAAATCCGGAGGTATTGGCGAATTCTTCGAACTTACAACGCCCCCTGTCGCATCGAAAATACAATTAAACATTTGTTAACTGAGTAACATTTAATATCCGAATCAGTATTAAAATACTACCTGATATTTAAATGATTCGCTTCTACTCAAAATTTTCCATATTCCCTATTGCTTGATGAATAAATATACGCAACTCAATCATTATATTGATATTCAATCATGATTCGACCGAGAAAATCAGTTGAGGAGTTTTGGCGTTAGATAAAAAGTAAATAACATTTAATTAAAGAGATCATAAAGTCGTACATGTAAAAATTTTAAACAGTTAATATATTTCCATGTGTGAATTGTGCCAACTTCTACGATATATATATGATCCAACTTTTTATCTTAATTTTCAAGCAGCTGGCGTATCGTGCTAAGCGTTGGGGGCCCGCTGAGTAATTTATTATCCGCAGGTTTGAGTCCGTTAGTGATAATAATGTGTGAGAGAATTGCTGGAATCGCGTGAAGTTGATAAGCTACGGCTTTCAATACCAATTAAGTCCCCAGGTCTACTGACTGGCAAAATCATATCTTATAAGATTAGGTTATTTATTTGCCATCTCATTTATTGACATCTCATCTATATATATTATCATTCGAGAGAAGAACTTCCTACGTCAATGTCTTACTTCTAAATGCTACAATTTTGAACTTAATTAATTTTCTCCATCCACAAAAGCTGATCTTCTAGCTCGGCTACCAAATCGGCTTCGGTAACAACCACAATATATACTATGAATAATAGCAAATAGAAAGCATGAAAAGTGGCGTACAATAATGTTTCAATAACTTCTATTGTAAAGAATGTTGTAATTTTTATATACATTCAAACACAAGTTGGTGTGTAATTTTCAAGCGCTCAATTGCTCTTATATATTACCTCGTGATTGAAAACATGGAACGTCTTTTTACTGGGGGAGGATTACGGAGGCGGGTAATTCAACTCTAGGTTCGAAACTAGGTGAAATACAAAGACAATCCAAAATTTCTATACTAAATTGAAACTTGGGTTAGAGAGTGAATTTCAAATATTGGGCCTTCAATGTAGTACGATACAAAATACCGCGGCTCAAATACGTTTATGCCGCGTTGACAATATAAAACTAATTTTGAACTCTGCGTCAACAAACGTATGCCGGCCGATGCCTGAGGGGAAAATTGAATGGCGAAGAAATGAATTGCATGATAAATGTCCTAAGAATCAATATAAGCAGTTTATTTTTGCTTGAATATAGATAAATTCACATGAGCCACAACCACTACAGTTAAAAGAAATATATTCTTGACAAAATTGCAGAATACTAATATTAGAAATCGCAAGAGTGAACATGAAAGGTAAATACTGAAGAATCGTGGGTTAGTTGTTCAATTGGAGGCCCAAGCCTTTAAAGTAAGTACAGCCACATTTCTACTTTCTGAGCCCATGTTTATTCGGTGCCTCTTGAATACGCTGTAAGAATCATTGTGATTCAGTAAATTAAAATCGCCTAAGTTACAAATAAAGTAAAATATTTATACTGGTCTATGCGAAACACTGATATTTACCAACTACTCTATATCTGTACATTAACACGAGCGCGGCTCTTCAGGTTTCTGCGTGCTTGCCTAATTTTTCCAAGTACTGCTGCTGAACCAGAGAGCACTTCGTCATTTTGAGCCCTGATAAAAACGAGGATTGTTTTTTTTTTACTTAGGGCGTAACTCATTCTCGCCCCATCGGTTTGGATGCCCAAAATGAAGCATTTAAAATTACTATATTAAAAACTTGATTCGCATTATAGCAGATGTGCTATATAGGAAAATATAGGAATATAGGAAAATTCCCAAACCTAAAGATTGCATATAGACTGCATGCAACTCTAAAAATTGCATATGAACTTTAATTCAGCGTTACTCTAACTTGGTTCCCTTATCATGATTTTATTGAAATATAATTTCAATCTAGAATAATATATTGAAAGATATTAAGTCGAAATGTCTCATGTGATGTCGGTACCTACTGAATCATACGATGCTCGACATATGTGTAGTGCTAAAACATGTGAGGAGAAACTCATATTTTATAAACTGTTTAATTATGTTACAAGACGACATGTTCTCAATATAGGTACGATTAATTAGTAGGGAGGGTGCTTTTTATGGTGTTTATT